ATAAATCAGTTAAATGACAAAAAAATAGGTGTCTATTTACTTATGACCACTTACTGTAGTATGTATAAAAATATATTTTGATGATGACTTGGATATGTAGTTTTTTAATTGTGGCATAAAGATTACACATCTTTTCCATCTCCTAGGAGAAGAAAAAAAAACGTTTTAAGTAAAGGTTAACATTTGTATCTGACTAGCTGAAACTAAGTGTCAAAAACACCAGTAATATATATTTTGATAGATTTACTCTTTCTGTACTATTAAGATAAATATTTGCAAACTTTTAGTCCATTTTAACTAAAAGATGGCTCTGTGTGGCACTGTAATATTCATGTATATTAAGAGATAAGTGTTCCGGAGATTTAAATATAGTAGTGTGTTTAATCCATTTTTTCTGAACAGTAGTGTATACATGTTATAGATGATGACACTCTTAAATTACAACTTATATAAATCATGGAACTGATTTTTCATTAAATATTTTTGGTTATGATTTCACATTCTAAGAACTTGGTCTTTTGAAAATAAAAATTAGTTTCATGGTGCACTTTCACCAAGCACTTTCTGTGGTGTTGAATGCTGATAGCTAGCAAAGCAGTGAAACCAGTAGCCATAATGTTATTGATTCTGTTCATTTTTTCTTATTACATCTAAATAGCATTTCAGATAAACTTTTTCTGCCATTATTCATCCCTGTTCTGGTATTGAATGAAATGCCTGTAGGCAGTGGCTCATGGCAGGGATAGATGTGAAAAGCTATTTTTACTCCTTTTTGGTTTGAAATTTGTAACAAATAAATTAAGAGAAAAAAAGACTTTGAAGTCAAGCATTATATTGTTATTTCTTGTAGGCATTTTAGAGGAAAATATGAAAGTGAATCTTGTCACCTGTTTTTATTTTCCATTTGACAAGACAAAAGCTTCAACACTTTGTACACCAGAGTTCTTAATCAGTATACGCATGTCTTTAGAGTTTAAGAGTTGCAGCTCACTTTTTGAGAAAAACCAATTATCCTTTAAGCTCAGCTTTACTCTTAAACTAAATATAAATCATTATTTTGTATTAATCCAGACTCATCTACAACAGTTGACTTGTGAAATTTATCTTTCTATTTTTCTTTTGTTGATTAATATCCTTGTTTGATTGCTTCAATAACACCTTCTGTTCTTGCTTTTTTTCTTGAACCATACCAGGGCAACCAATGAGCAATAACTGTTGCCTATATGGCTGCTCTTAACTGAAGAGTGGAATTGTTTTCACACAGTATAAAGACCCCACAGTTAAAGGTCAGTAACTCAAACCTTGGACCTTTCAGTCCTCAGCCTAGTACACTAATACATGTCAACTGTGTGGGTGTGTGAAATATAATGTCCAAACTTATGTTTATATATATATATATATGTAAACTCCAAAAAATATATCTAGTTTATAACTAACAGTGCAAAGTTATTATAAGACAATGTGTTTTGCTTTATTTGTACTTTTCTGAAATGATACGAAACACCATTTATGAAAATCTTATGATATGATAACCTAGTGTGTGAAGAAGCTGTTAGTGAGACAATGTTGATAAAGTAAAATTAAATTTTTATTTGAAAATGAATAAGATGAAGTACAAAACTTAAATATGACTTAATTTATGTAAAATTGTAAAACTTTATTACATCTTCAGTAGTAGAAGTACAGTTAAAATATTAAAAGCATAAGGAGGTATAAAGTATGAATGTTAGAAAAAAGCTGAACTAAAAACTTACTGGGAAAAAAAAATTCTGAAGGAAGAGAGAGAGTGGGTAGTTTGTAAATATGCATTAATTTCATCTTTAAGTTGGTATTAAAAACCATTGTAGGAAAATTCAAGTAATTATCTTTTATGTTGTTAGAACTTGTTAAAGTTAACATATATGGCTGTGTATAGGTAATTCATGAATATTGTCAACAAGTTGCTACTTTTAGGTAATTTTTTTTTGTCTTTCCTAATAGGTGTTTCTTATAGAAATTGAGGTTTTGTGACATTAAGTAATAAAATAACAAATATAGTAATAATAGTTAGTTTCTGCTAGGAAAAATATATATATATACAATGTGATGCACAAGTCAACTGATAGTCAAATGATTTAGAAATGGAGAAGTATAGAAAAATAAATTTTAGTTATATGGAATGAGGTTTTACCATGTGACAATATTATGGAAGTCATTCAAGGTCATATGTTTTGGAAATGTTATTAATATATGCATCATACACCTAAAACGTCAATAACAAAGGTGTACGTAATAAGAAATACAACATTTTAAACCAAAATCTCTCTTCAAGACCAGCAGTTTTAGGTATAAATAAACCTTTTTTATGCATACAGAGTTGTGCCACAGATGATTGAATTTGACCATAGCTATGATGTTTACATAAGCTTAAGTTTGAGGTGCAAACCTGGAATTTTGTATATATAGGTCTTTGCACCTTTGGGATGTTGAAAAATATTCAAATCCCCCTAAATAAAGTAGCATATAAGCATTCAGCTCCCAAATCATTTAAATAATGTCACAGTGTTCACTTGAAAGCATACAAATACATAAAGCATGAATGTTAGGAAGAAAAGCTGAACTAAATTAAAACGTAATGAGAAAAAAAGAAAATTCTGAAGGAAGGAAAGTGAACAGTCTGTAAATATGCATTAATTTAATCTTTAAGTACATGTATTTTGCTTTATTTGTATTTAACCATTAAAAGCATGTCTTTAGAGTTTAAGAGTTGCATTCACTTTTTGAGAAAACCAATTGTCTTTTAAACTCAGCTTCAACTCTTAAACTAAATATAAGGGTGTTGCTCAGTTGAAAATGATCTACTTTTATGAAGAGTGTCACCAAGATGTTGGCAGATTATATGAAAAACAGAACCCAGATCAACATCATATTTTCACATCAGATGAGAGGAAGCATGTCGGTAGTTACATACTACAGGCTTATTTATATATAGATGCCATGCAGTCAGACCAAGAGCAGCAACTACCAGTATTAACATGAAATTGCCATATTGACACTTGTCACATTTGGGCAGAACTTTGAACACAGCTATTATTTGTTTGCTACCATTTTGTAATATTGTTATGATGTTTACCTCATCTGCATTTATGCCTATAACTGTTATGGCAAATTGAAATTTGTGGTGTGTGTGTGTTGCATATTGCTAAAAAGTTTGAAAAGAGACCTTAAAGGTGACTCTGATTAACCTCAATGATATTTTGACAGCGTAGGCTCTTGAACACATCATTCCATACCTCTCCATTCCTGTGCTTCTCAATTTATAAATATTTTTGTCTGTCAATGGACTTCTGAATCACCCAGTATATGTGGATTGACATTATAAAATATTGGTTACATAGTAAACGATCACTTCACAGGTCTAAAAAAGGATGAGGTGGTAAAGAATTGGAGTTCCTTTAAAGGTTATTCTTTATATATATATATAACAACTTTTTATTCAAATTGTTTTACTTATTTGCTAATAGGTTGTATCACACAGTGTAATTAAATGAAGTGTTATTGTTTCCTCAAATAT